GAAATGGTAATGGTAGGCAATAAAACCATAGCTCAAATGCTAATATACACATAACCCACATACATACAAACAAACATGTATCAGCTGAAGGCACTACTCCCATTGGCCTGATGGTCACTCGATTTAACAGAAAATTCCATCCTGTGCCATATTCATTTTTATTTCTCCCTATGAAAGTTAGTTTGGTTTTCCATATATACATATATAAAAGTCTGCATAACTATCTACAAGCTTACGCGTCGACTATAAGCTACACACATACTCTTCCATATTGCCCAAAACGTCATATGACCAAAAGCCGACCAATTGTAATGCCACACCAAAGCATACTCCTATAATCCGAATCTGATTTCAAGCGAAACATTTACGAAGTTAATGCAATTCTACAGGTGCAGTGCATTTGGTCCACTTGCAGCACAGCTTGTATGTGTGCGTTCGATGGCTGCAAATACATAAGTATTCCTAGAAATTTCATTGAAATAAAAGGAAACATATATCGGCAACCGAAATGGAAATAAAAATTTATTTTACTAATTTTCCAAAGCATTGAACGAATAGTGATCTTCCAATTAAAATCCATGGCATTTTTATTACCTACGAGTATTTGTCGACCTCATTGTGTACTTAGTGCTAATGTAAATATGTGTATCAGAAAAGTTGAGTTCACTATTTCATCAATTCAACTTCTGAAATCAAGTTCTTATATGCAATTTTGAAACTTGTTTTTGTTTTCATTGATGTGTAAGAGAATGAAAAGCACAGAAAATGACATCCCCTTTCATCAGCTACTCTCAATATTTAGCTCGATCACACCAGTTAAGTGTTCATTACTCGAAAATCACAAGGTCAATTGATATTTATTAGTGATATTTCTGTTTTCATTCATTTCAATGCTACGGAAATCCCTTAAACTGTTTGAAACATCTAAAATTTGCAAACAAAAACATGAAGCATTGTTCCCCGATCTCGAGGAGCTTTTATTTCATGTCAGATATATATAGATGTTGTTTTTAATTCTAATTATCGGTAATTTTTAATGTTGAGCTGGTTTCAAACCCATGACTCTTTGAATGCAAAGGTATAGGTGTAGTAACGAACATGTCTGCTTGCCTAAATTGAAACACGAGAGGGTAACTTGGCGGCCGCGGTAGCCAAGTGGTAAGCATTGTGTACTGCCATTCGGAAGGCTCGGGTTTAAAGTTATAGAAAATAAATTTAAATAAAAAATTAAGTTAAATTTTCTAATTGCGGTCGACCCTCGGTAGGGAATGTCAACGCCTCCGAGTGTATTTCTGACATGAAATAAACCTCCTCATAAAAAAACATCAGCCATTCGGAGGCGGCTTAGTGTTGGTGTAGTAAAAAGTTCGTTCTGTTTTTATCTAAGAGATGGCGTTATTGTCCATAGTAGTAGTGTTACGTGTCGCATTATATCATATTAAATTGCGCTGAAAATGTATTTACTCGAAGTTTGTCTTTGAAAGTTTTTCGATTGATTGACTCAGTACATTGTGAGCGCTCGTCAAAGATGGACATCAGCAAAGAGAAAATTCGCTAAATTTTACAATTTTTCTTCGATCAAGGCGAAAAAGCAGCGAAAGCGGGTAAAAAAGTAAATTTTGTTTATGGGACCGATACTGTGAACGAACGTGTAGCACAAAAGTGGTTTGCTAGGTTCCGTTCCGGTAATTTCGATGTCAAAGGTGCACCACGCGTCGGGAGGCCTGTCGTCGAAAATTGCGATAAAATCATGGAAACAGACCGTCACGAGAGCACTTATTTAGCTGCTGAAAAACTAAAGATAAACCAGAAAACCGTTTGGAACCATTTGCATAACCGTGGATTCAAAAATAAGATCGATGTTTGTCACACGCACTAACGCAAAAAAAAAATTGATGGATCGAATTTCCATCTGCGGATCCCTGCTGAATCGCAACAAAATCGACCCGTTTCTGAAGCGGATTGTGACTGGCGATGAAAAATGGGTTACTTACGACAACATCGAGCGCAAACGGTCGTGGTCAAAACTCGGGAAAGCGGTCCAGACGATTGACAAGACCGGATTGACGGTCAGGAAGGTTTTGATATGTGTTTGGTGAGATTAGCAAGGAATCATCTATTACGAGCTGCTCCCCTATTTCCAAACGCTCAATTCGGCCCTCTACTGCTAACAAATGGACCGCTTAAAGGAAGCACTCATCCCGAAGAGGCCATTTTTGATCAACAGAGGCCGAATTGCGTTCCATCAGAAACTTCAGGAGCTCGGATGGGAGGTTCTAATGCACCCACCTTATAGTCCAGACCTGACACCAAGTGATTACCATCGTTTCCTGTCCATGGCGAACGCGCATAGTGGTGAAAAGTTGTATATAGGAATTCAAAACGTATTTCAATTTCATGTTTTTAATACGATTTTTTATTTAATTTAATAGATTTTTCGAAATTATTTTCTGTCGAGTTAACCGAGCCAACTTAGACTAATAGCTTACAAATATTTTAGTTACTCAAGCATAAACCCAACAGAGTTGATCCACATATATCTGACCAGGCAGACCTTCGAAAAAAATCACTATTCGGAAGAACGCTAGGAAATAGTAATAATCTCCTTCGCACTAAAAATCAAAATTCCTAGATAAACACCCACTCAACTCATATGTATGTACATGTATGTATGTATGTATGTATGTATGTATGCAGGTGTTTGTTTCGCTAAAAGTGTATAAGTACACTGGATTGACTGAGCACAATTGCCCATACATATTTATATTTGTAAAATCACTTTGCTTTTACACGAATTGTGTACATCTCTTCACACTGCATTCTAAGCAAACATTTCATATACTACGATTGAGACAACAGCAGAAGAGAGCTTCACAATCCGTTGGCATTTTATTTTTTGCTATCGTCCGACACTTTGGAAAATGCACCAAAACTTTTAACAACTTTCCACATACATTTTTGCGACTCTCTGGATGCAACATAAAACTAGGGTGGGTTGGGCAAACAATTCTTTAAATGAAAGTTAAGCAAACACAAGTGAAAGATTGTTAAAAAATAAATAAAACAATGTAGGACAACTGCCACCTCTAATAAAAGCGAATTACTTCACCTTGTCGGAAAGTCTGATGTGGGAAAATTGAATTTGAAGGTAAAGGAGAAAGAGAGAGAGAGGGATGAAGTGGAGCGGAGTGACTTTAGACAAACTGCCAGTGAAGTATGTATTAAAAGCGACAGCTATGGCTATGGCTGCCATCTCGCAAAAAAAAATTGCTGAATTTAATGAGAAAATCGTAAAATTCGTAAAAGTTTAAAAATATTTTTGATAGTGACTTTAAGTGATTCTTCCTTGCTTTCCGAAACGTTTGCCGTGTTAACATCTATAAGCTCAACGCCGAACTGTTTATTAAGCTTATTCAGAACTTTCGTTTACTCATGGCAACTCTTTTCCAACTCATACACGACGCTTGCATCGATATACGTACATGGAAGAGTATATATGTTTGTATATTGGTAAGTGCAACAGTGGCCAGCTACTTTTGGCATTGCGCGCACCAAAGTGGCTAACGGAAATCCACTTTTTCTAATGCTTCCTCCGCTGTTGACGTTTACTGACTTTTTACTTGTTGGTCTGCATTTTAACCGTCACTTTAGTGCAATTTTCGTTTTGACCGCAAGGAAGGAGCGTCAGCGATGACGAAACTATTTACTTTCACACTTGGCAAGGAACAAACCACCGGGCAAATGGGCATTTTGTGAATTTTCGAAAGCAATTTTTTCAACAAGTTTTGATTCAGTTACTCGTCAATCGAAGTAATGTGATTTTTACAATTGAACTGGGTGTGTTTGATTCTGGATAAACTCAGTGCTTTGTGGCATGTTTAGAGTAAGTACATATACGGGATTTGCTAAAATGTCTGAGCAGCGTGAAAGCCATCTCCAAAAGGGGTTCAAAGTAAACAAACAACTATTTAAATTAAATTAAATTACATAAAATATTATTGAATAAAATGAGATTCAATAAAGTAAAATAATAAAATAATATACAATAAAATTAAAGCAAGAAAGAAGAATTGGTTTCCGCCATGCCGAAGTATTTGTACCTTTCATGAGGGCATATCAAACTTATGGCATATCGTTTTACGATCATACTCATTAATACTCATATCTAGGCCGATATCCCCAGCTGCTAGCTGCCTTTAATCTAATGTAATTATTCATAATTATTTTTCATACGAATAAATAAAAAAATATAAAATAAATAAATAAAATAATTCCCATATCTAAACAATAAGTAAGAAGAAGCTATCTGAAAATGTTTCCGATTTTCATGATCCGTGACAATGTTTACTAGTAAATGCGAAAATATATGCCTTTTTATCGAAGTTCTGACTATGACCTCGGTTGTAAGGGAGATATATGTTATAGTCGCCCAATTTCCATAACTTTCAGTAACTATATGTAATGCGTTATACATATGTGACAGATTTATGACCCCAAATTACAAATCTCCAAAGGTCGTAAAAATTTAACGGTGCATGTTTGGCTGAAATATCTAAAAAAAGACATGGCAAAACAAACTGAATCCATAACACTTCTCTTTCTTTTACTTATATACTTCGGACTAAAGTAAATATGACTGAATGCAAATGAACGATTATAAACAAAATCAATAAAAATTAATTAAATTTAAGCGAACTAACCTAAATGAAGAAAAATCTAATTCTACTACAATAAATACAATAGAATTAAATTAAATAAAAATAAAATATTAATCAAATTTAATTAAATTAAGTTAAACAAAATGAAATTATATTGAATAAAATTAGTTGAAAAGAGAAAATATGTGCCCATGATTTTGAAAGTGGTATAAGTCAAAAATTTTAAAAATCTACTTTATCAGCTTTTACTTGTCAAATCTTAATTAAAAAATATAATCTGAAGAAAGTAGCAGCATGCCATTCAAATTAAGTCATTAAAATGCGTTTATTCTTTTAGTTGTTAACTGAAATACAGATATTGTTGGTTTTGATAGTGGTATAAGTCAGTGTGTTCACAAAGTAATTTTATTACGTCTTCAGATAGTGGTTCAGGTAGGATGAAGTAGAACTTTTAATGTAAAAACCTACTATTTAAAGTTAATTGTAGACATTTTACGGCGAATAAATGGAAATAATGCTCCCAAGAAATGGAAACCCATACAAATGGAAGAGCGCAAAATGAAATCAAGAAAGAGGACACGCAATCCACAGAATTATGCACAAAATATAAGAAAAATGAAGAGAAATAGTGGAGAGGAATATGAAACAAAAAACTCTAAGCACGTGAGTGCAAAACTTTTCGAAAATAAAGATTGTCTTTGTTCCAAAAAGTGTTTAAATGAAATCGGATACGAAGACAGGAAAGATAATTTTGATTATTTTTGGAAATTAGCAAATTTCGAAAAACAGAAGCTGTTTCTATGTGGTTTGATTACAAAACAATTAATAAAACAAAAACGCCCCAGAAATCACAAAGGATATATGAGAAAATGGAGTCTTAAGTTTCATCTATATGTAAGTATAAGTTCGGAAGTTTCTGTTTGCAAAAAAATTTTTTTTGGATACTTTCAAAATATCTAACGGAAGATTAAGCCGTGCTTTAAATTCTAAAACACCTGGAATGGATGGTCGGGACAAAATGGCTAGTTCATCTAGAAAAACAGATGAAGAAAAACTTAAAGTAGTACGAGATCATATTCAGAGTTTTCCAGCATGTGAGAGCCATTACAAGAGATCACGTCACACTTCAGGTTGAAAGTATCTAAGTGCTGACTTAGATATTCGAAAAATGTATGGGCTATATGTGGCAAAATGTGATGAAAATAATACATCATATGTAAAGGAGTGGACTTATAGAAACATATTTAATACTGAGTTCAACCTAAATTTTCATATTCCTCGTAAAGACACGTGCCAAAGTGTGATTCGATAAAACTAAAAATTGAATCATCCAGTAATGAGGACGAAAAGTTGCATCTTATGGAAATTCAGGATTCACATCTTAAAAGTGCCGAACAGGCTAGAAAAAGTTTAAAAGATGACATACAAAAAAAAAAAGATAACCCGAAAGAAATTTACGGATTTACATTTGACCTAGAAAAAGCGCTTCCTTATCCAAAACTTTCTGTTTCGGTAGCTTACTATAAACGCAACGTGTATGTATACAATTTAGGGTTTCATAATTTCCACAATGGAAATGCTAAAATGTATGTATGGGATGAAACAATCGCCTCAAGAGGATCACAGGAAGTTGCGTCTTGCATCTTAAAGCATATTCGGGACATTACCACTCAAAAGAATATAATAGCTTACAGTGATGCCTGCTCAGGACAAAATCGAAACATTAACATAGCTTTAATATGGTTAAAAATTGTTCAGACATCTGATAATGTTGAAACAATTGATCATAAATTTATGGTATCCGGCCATTCTTTCTTGCCAAATGATCAGGATTTTGGTTTGATAGAAACTAAAATTAAAAAATCTAATTATTTATACGTCCCTGAGCATTATTACAATTTAATAGAATCATGTAAGATGAGAAACCCATTTTCGGTAGTACAAATGGATCAAAAAGATTTTATTTCTACAAAACAACTAAAAGAATCAACGAATAATAGAAAGAAAAACATCAATGGAGAAGCCGTGCCTTGGTTAAAAATACAATGAATCAGATTTCTAAAAAATGCCCCATATAAGATGTTTTATAAAACTTCCTTGGATGACAACTCCGAATTCAAAGTATTAGACCTCTCACCTAAAAAAGGAAGACCTAGAATATACGGAAATATTGATTTACTTCCATTATACACAACCATTAGACCACTAACAAAAGAAAAACGTAAAGATATGATGGATCTACTACCCTATATTCCACCAATTTTTCACAAACACTTTATTTCTCTAAATACTAATGAATAATTTACGTTGTCACAATGAAATGAATTTGAATAAAATTGTTTAATTTTTGGTATAGGTCATTTATAAAGTCATGAAGTTAATTTTGAAAGTGGTCCAAGTCATTTAAACCTTTCAAAACCACATTTTCTTTTAAAAACGGCAATAAATTTCACAATCATAATAAGTACTTGTTTGTTGGGACTACTTTAATGTCGAAAAATCATAATCCATAATGCAAGAATATTTTTTAATCCTTTAAAATACAAAACTCTAAATATCTCGAAACAAAAAAAATATGACTTATACCACTTTCAAAATCATGGGCACATATAAATATCAAGTATATATGTATGATATATTTACATAAATAAAGTCTAAATATAAAAAAAAAAAACAAATGAAATAAAATTGATATAGCTTAAAATTAAATGTATAAACTAATAAAATTACAGTTATTAAAAAAAAAGTAAAGTAAAATAAAAAATTATATGAATTAAGCTCAAATAAAATGCTAAATTAATTAATATTAATCAGAATAAAATAAATTAACAAACTAAATTAAAATAAAAGTTGCATTAAGTTAAATGAAAAAACTGTATTAAAATAAAATAAATGAAATAAAATAAAATTAAATTAAATAAAAAATGAAAGAAAAATTAAGTAGGTTAAATAAAATAATTTACTATAAAAAAATATAATACAAAGTAAGATTAATTAAAATAAAGTAAATTAAAACTAAATTAAAATAATATAAAAAATAATAATCAAATTTAGTAAAAAAAACAAAGTAAGATAAAATAAAATTTAATTTAATAATAATAATATAAAAAAAAACACTGTAGCCGCAAGTACGTTTCTATGATTTTTTACGTCATTTTGATTTAAACACAGATTTCGACTCTCTTGTTCTTCTGTAGAATCTCTTCTCCTTCATATCCGTAGCGTATACATAATTAAGAAAATAATATAATAAGAAAAAATAAAGTGAAATAAAATAAAATTTAATTTAATTCATTAAATTTTAATAATATTCACAATATTAAATTAAATTTTGACTAAAAAGTAAAAACTAGATTAAATAAAATTAATGTGTTGGAAAAATATCAAGCCGATTCCCACAAATTGGAGGAGGAGCTCGGAAGAAATTCGTTTCAGCGGGTACAAAATACAAATTACATATATATAATATAAAAACCGTAAAAAAATAAATAAAAAATGAAATAAAACGAAATATGAGGTGAAGTAAAACAAATTAAAATATTGAGCAAAAAATTTCTCTACCTTAATGTTTCCTCGTTAGTCAAGCTACTCCTCGTTCTAACGCATATTAAATTCTATAACAAATTAAAAAATTTTTAAAGCTATTGTATATACAATATGTATTGTATAATTGCAAGAAATTTATGTTACATATATGTTTTCCAAATTTTTATGGAACGTATATTATATTTATTTGAAAATTTATTAATTTTTACACCTATGCCACAGCCAACTAGGTCCACTATGAAAATTTTACATTACATTTTTAATTAACATTTTAGTTGCTGGTACTGCTCAGTGGACGAAAATACACATACACCGCCACTGAATTCTTATCATGACACACAGCAGCCGGACTTGGCCGCATTCCAAGTTTTCATTCCAGACTAGCTCATACAAATACACGTTGGAAGAAGAAGGCATCTTTTTAATAACCTGCGCAATCTAGGCGAACCCTGATCGCTGTGGCTGCTACAGATTTTTTTTTTAATAACGATTTTTATATTTACTGCAGACGCTTCGGAATTTCGTAGTCAGATTCAATATTGTAACCAATTTTCTTATTCGTTTTACTTCCCTATTATTTATAACTCCTTAAGTGTGCGGAAATTTTGCAAAACTTGATGAGGAATTCATTTCGCTGTCTAACGGCGCATCAGATCCTAGCCACCGTCGTTGCTACTTAAACAAAATGGCATGATTGATTAACGCCAAGAGCTGTAGAATGGTGAAATATGGTGGATGAACAGCATCTGGAGCCGGTGTGTATGGAGGTGTTATCGTATGGAGAGCATATGCTTGGCCAAGAGCGAACGGCAGTGAAAGCAAAATTAATATTAAAATAAAATTAGTTCGTAGGCGAGCAGTAAAAGTGTGATAAAAAAAAATGGAGGATGCAACTCAGTTAATCGAAATACAGTTTTTCTTTCGCCATGAAGACAGATTAATGACTACCAAATAGGAAAAGTAGATGGGTAGACGAAATCGTTTTGAATCGATGGCAGCCGATAACAGAATTAATAGAATTAAACGCTACGGAAGACAGGCAAACTAATGAATATGAAAACAAATTACTCACAAATGTCAATTTAGCATTTTTCCTCTAAAGTGCAGTTATAAATCAGTTTTGACTTTTTTTAATTACATCAAACCGAGAAATGGGTCATGGGAAAGTAGATGCGAATTTTCCTGTTAGAATTTTTTCAAAATTGAAAAGTAAGAACTGTCGGCAGGTTATTTGAAATAAAATAATTTATTTAAGAACGATTAAACACTTTTTAATAAAATTGTGATTACTGTCTGCTCTTTCATTGGCAGTGGCTCAATCACGGTTATTCGTTTATTAAAACATTTATAGATATTTTTTAATCGGTATTTATCTGCAGACAGGCGATCCCTAATAGTTTAATATCGGTGGTGTGTTTCCAATGTTTAAACTGTATGAATATTTTAATGTGCATGTGCATTTTTTATTAATTTTTCTTGTCTATTGGTAAAATATAATGAGCTTGTTTGACATTCAGTTGTAAAAATAATATATATGTAAGTTTTAGTTTTGCTTTCTGATTAAACAAGTTTCAAAAAATATTAATGATAAAACTGTCTTTCAGAATTATCTTTGCTTCAATTTTAAACATTAGTTATTGATAATATAATTTGAACAAATATTATAATATTTTAGGATTTATTGCAACAATAGTCCCGAGATTTTTTGAGTGATTTGAATCTTAACTTCCTTCTCCGCACATTTCCTTCAGTTTTAAATTTTTATTCATGGAAGTATTGAAATTATTTAAATGCTAGTGACATGGTATCTGGTACATTATTATTTAATTTTAATATCCTTTCCCGCGGTAGTCGAGTGGTAAGCATTGTGTACTGCCAATCGGAAGACTCGGGTTCAAAGTTATAGAAAATTAATTTAAATAAAAAATTAAGCTAAATTTTCTAATTGCGGTCGACCCTCGGCGGGGAATGTCAACCCCTCCGAGTGTATTTCTTACATGAAATAAATCTCCTCATAAAAAAATCATCAGCCGTTCGGAGGCGGCTTAGTATGAACTGTAGGTCCCTTCATTTGTTCCAAAAAAAAAACATCAAGACACAAAATCACAAATTGGAGGAGGAGCTGGGCGGAAAGTCGCTTCAGAGATTACAAAAGCACCAATTATATATATATTTCCTCCCAAAAGGGGCAAATAATAAAATATCACCAAAAGGATTGAAAAATTTATGTGTTTTCTAAAATATTTTATAGCTATAGTAGGCGCACCCTTCAGCTTAAATAACATAAGTATGCATAAGCATAAGCACTCAAAAGGAATAAAACATCAACTTTGTAAACAATGTTTGCA